TTCCTGATTGTTGATGAAATATAGTAAAGATCTTATGTGGTTTTTTTTTTTTGGTCAGTTGTGGGGCTTGAACTCAGGGCATGGCCACTGTCCCTAAGCTCTTCAGCTCAAGGTTAGCACTCTACCACTTGAGCCACAATGCCACTTCTGATTTTCTGGAGATAAGAGTCTCATGGACTCTCCTGCCTGGGCTGGCTTTGAACTGTGATCCTCAAATCTCAACCTCCTGAGTAGCTATGATTATAGGTGAGCCACCCACACCTGGGTGATTTTTTATGTTTAAATTTTGTTTTTGCACAGTGCTGGTAATTAAGCCAGTCCTTTTTTTTTTCTTTTTTTGTCGGTCGTGGGGCTTGAACTCTGGGCCTGGGCGCTGTCCCTCAGCTCTTCAGCTCAAGGCAAGCGCTCTACCGCTTGAGCCATAGAGCCACTTCTGGTTTTCGAGTGGTTTATTGGAGATAAGTGTCTCAGAGTTTCCTGCCCTGGCTGGCTTTGAACGAGATCCTTAGATCTCAGCCTCCTGAGTAGCTAGGATTACAGGCGTGAGTCACCAGCGCCCAGCTAAGCCAGTCTTCCTCCACACCCTCCACTCCAAGATGTTGGTTTTTGTATTGCTTTAGGTGGTCACCTTTTTATTTCCAGTATCATTTTGCATGGTTTTATGTTTACCTTAAGTAGATCCTTGTCAAAAGAGCATTTGGGGAATGTATGTCAAGATGTAACAAATATTCTGTATCTTCAGGTTCTGAGCTGTGAAGCTAATATTAATGTTACTGTTAGATACAGTATTCTCTGTAATATTTCCTCAGGTCTAAGGAACTTTCAAAAGGAGGCTTATCTCTGAGAATTTGACCTTTAGTTTTTGATTAATTTGATAGTTATGTGTTAATCAATACTTACACTGATTTATAGGAACTGGAGGCCACTAAATCTATTTTCTTCTCTTGGATCTAAGTCTTACTTTTGAAAGATCTTCCTTCCTATCCGTTACCCCAAGGGTATATTTGTATATGTCATTGATTGGAGCTGGCTACTTACGATCCTATTAAATTAGATTAGATAACACTCTACCAATGTTACTGTAAGCTGCATTGAGCTAATATTTCTTAACTTGCTACTAAGTAAGTAAAACAATTAAGGAACAGACACAGAATGTTAGGGCTCAGGCCTGGTTATTATTGCATTATAGTTTGTTCATAACCCTCTGGTACAATTATGGTGTGAGTTGGCCATGTGTGCAGTAACCTTGCTATTAAATCTCACATATGCAAAAAAGATATAGATCTGTTTGTATTATTAACATTATTCTGAAATGGTTATTTTAATGTGTTCTTTGTTTTGCTTCCTTACCAACAGTATAACCCTGAGAAAAAATTTTTTAACTTATAAATCCCAGTAATCTTAGTGTAATGACCATTGTATTGTGACCAGTAAAACTAAGTAAAATGAACCAGTTATAGAGATTGAATTTTTCATGATTTTATTTACATAAGGAGGTAGCTGGTGTAGTCAAAATCTTAGAAAGCAGAATGGAGAGGAGAGTTGTTCAGTGGGCATAGCATTTCAATTTTGCCATGTGAAAAAGTCTGAGATCTGTTGTTCAGCAATGTGAATAGAACTATGTTATCTTGTTCTCTTTTTGTTATAACAAAATACTTAAGGCTGGATACAGAAATGCTCCCTTATTTTGATAGTTAATCTTAATTATCAACATACTTGTCAATTAATAAATATTTCTAGAGATAATTACCTCATAAGGATTCTGACCTAATGAATAGATTCCCTTGAATTTCCTTTGACTTTCTTTAATGGATTCATAATACAATGGCATTATTGTGACATAGTGAAAAGTAGGAGATGGAACCTGCTGGGAGGAAGTTAGGTCATTGGGGGTGTGTCCCTAAGGGATACATTTTTTGCCTTGACCCTTTCTCATATTCCATTCCCTCCCTGCTTCCTTTTCACCATGAAGTGAAGAACACCCTCCACTACATGCTTCTGCCACCATGATGTTCTGCCCAAGAACACGGAACCCAGAACTGTGAATTGGATCCTATGAAAACATGGACCAAAATAAATTTAAATTATTCTCTCAGGTATTTGGTCATAGCTATACAAATGTAAATTAGAGGCTAAAAATCCAAATCAGGCCAACCCCATCAGTTTGGCTTTTGGTGAGGGCCCCCTTGGTGAGCGTCACCATAAGGGAAAAGCAAAAAAGGAACCAAACAGAGCAAGATACAACATGGCCTTGCTTTGTAACAACTTACTCTCGTGTTCTAGTTGGGGCTCCATAGAAATATTAACCTTTTCCAGTGACGTAATCACCTTTCATTAGATTCTGTGTCTTCATGGCTCCATCACCTGTCATATCACCATACTGGAGACTAAGCAATCAGCATATGAACCTTTGACAAAACCACATCCAAATAAATGACAGTAGTTTATACTGTTGTAATGTATATGTGAATTTGGCTAAGGTGGTAAGTTTTGTTATGTGTTCTTTAATGCAATAAAACCAAAACAACAATCCTTTCATAGTTCCAAATGTACTCAGAATGAAATCTAAACTCTCTACCTTTGTGCCAAAACCCAATCTGATCTGGTTTTGCTCATATCTCTCAGGCTCATTTTGTACCAGTGCTTCCTTGTCCATTGTTGTCCAGCCACAGTGTCTTATTTGCATTTCTCAAACTCTCCCTAGAATGCTCTCAGACTTTAATCTAGTTGGCTCTGTCTTGTTTTATAAGTCTTGGCTTTAGTTGTGTCTCATGAAGATTTTTCCTGACAACCTAATCTCTCCTTGTTATCAGTTCCTCTATCACATCACTCTACTAAATCTGCCCAAGGTTTCCCACCGTGTGCTATTTTCTTATTTGTTTAAGAATTTAAGTTGTAGGAGAGCAGGAACTATGTCTGTTTGTTCATCTCTGTATCCCTGTGTACTTAGAACAGCACCTGACATGTGGTTAGTCCTTGGTAAATATTTGCTGAATGAAAATTGAACTTCCTAGTCTTAAATGACCATTTCTTGTGAAGGCGTGCTTACCCTTTTCTCCAAGCTTTAAACTTGCACTTTAGAATTCCATTTGGGGGCTGGGCACTGCTGGTTCATCCTTATAATCCTAGCTACACTGGTGTCTGAGATCTGAGGATTGCTGTTTGAAGCCAGCCCAGGCAGGAAAGTCTGTGAGACCCTTCTTTCCAGTGAAGTTCCAAAAAGTTGGAAGTGGACTTGTGGCCCAAGTGGTAGAAGGCTAGCCTTGAGAAAAGCAGCTCAGGGACAGTGGTGTGTGTGCACACGCACGTGCACACACACACACATTCAAATCCTTCTTGACTGTTCTCATCTGAATACTGCAAAAACCTCAAACTTAATATACTCCAAACAAAAATTGTCATGTCCCTCACTGCTGAGTTAATTGTTCTATAAAATTTTGCTGCTTCTCTCTGTTACTGATTTGTTATTAACTCAGCTGATGAGGCCTGAGATCCTTGTGGATTACTACTCTCTCTTCCTCTTCTCCAGCTCCCACCATTTATCAACCCTGTGGGTAATTCATCTTGCATCCTTCCCTTCCAGTTCACAGTTGCTGCCACCTCATTTGAGGCCTAATTACTTTTTACTGGGACCATTTTTAAAACAAAGGATGATGAGGTTGTTGAGAAAAAGGGAAGTCTACTTCACTAGGGAAATTATGTCGGAGGATTTTAATGGGTCATTGGCATCAACTGATGAGCAAACCTAGGATTGTGAGGCATCTTTCAGGAACAGTAGAAGGGCAGGACAAAGATCAGGGTCCATTTCACATGCAAAAAAAAAGAGGGGGGAGTGTAATTGTGGAAGTGGGAGGGAAGGGATGGTAGGGGAAAAACAAAGGAGGCAGCAACAATGCTTGATAAGAAATATACTCACTACCTTGCGCATGTAACTGCAATCACTCTGTACAGTATTTTCACAATAAAAACCTTATTTAAAAAGACAAAAGAAAGAAAGGCTTTAAAAAGCATCTGGTATTATAAGTGTCTACCCACATTTCAGGAGCAAGGTGAGATCATAGAGAAGCTATGCCCGCTCCTTTCTCAATCTTTAGTCTTCATCATCTAAACCAAGATATGGAAAAGATCAGGTGACAAGAATGGTAAGGTAAAAGCTTTCCACAAAGTTAAGTGTGTGGGTTTGTGTAGGTGCAAAAGTGGTTAGCTGTGGGCGCTTATTCCCCTTCTAATTTTGTCTTCCATCAAACACATTTTAAAAGTTTATTGTGTCTTATATTTTCCTGGTTTGTGTAGCTGTGTTAGCTTAAATAGAGCCAGTTTTCCTTCCCTCCCTCCCATGTTCCCTCCCTCCCTTTTTTTCTTTCCTCTTGGTAAAGGTAGAACAATTATAGAACACAAAGTACTCCATGATATTTTGTCATAAATATCCTATAACTTTGAGCTCATGTGTACACTTTATATCATTTTGTTATGAATCTTAACCTCGTTTGTGGCGCTATGGCTCAAGTGGTAGAGCGCTCGCCTTGAGCTGAAGAGCTGAGGGACAGTGCCCAGGCCCAGAGTTCAAGCCCCATGACAGACAAATAAAATAAAATAAAATGGGCATGGAGCTTGAACTCAATGCCTGGGCACTGTCCCTGAGCTCTTTTGCTAAAGGCTAGCACTCTACCACTTTGAGCCATAGTGCCACTTCTGGTTTTCTGGTGTTTAATTGGAGATGAGTTTTACAGACTTTCTTGCCCAGGATGGCTTTGAACTGTGATCCACTTATTTCATCTTCCTAAGTAGCTAGGATTATAGGTGTGAGCCATCTGTGCCTGGCTTAATGTATATTCTTTTAAACTGTAGTATTCTCCTCTGTAGTTGAAGAGCCTTCCCCAAGTTCATACAACTTGATGAAAACTTGGCAGAGATGGCTGAATTTAATTTTAATTCAGTCTTTTGGAGGGTGGAATTCCTTTCCTTTTTGGGGTAAACTTGTTTTTTTCTTCATGTTTCAGGTGGTATGCAAGATTATAATTATGTATGGGCCAACTGCTTTGAGATCACATTAGAATTGTCTTGTTGCAAGTACCCACCTGCTTCACAGCTTCGACAGGAATGGGAGAACAATCGTGAGTCTTTGATCACATTGATTGAAAAGGTAAAAGTCACTGACTAGAAGGTTGGAGAATAGAAGTCATGGATTAGAATAGAAGCCATGATTGATTGCATATGAATAGCAGTCTAAATTTGGTATTCTTTATGGTTTTTGTTTGATTTTTCCCCCCCAGTTGTGGGCTTGAACTTGGGGCCTGGTGCTGTTCCTGAGCTTTTTTTCCTCAAGACTAGTGCTCTACCACTTGAACCATAGCTCTTCTTCTGGTTTTGTGGTGTGTGTGTGTGTGTGTGTGTGTGTGTGTGTTTATGTGTGTTTGTGTGTGTGATTAATCAATCAGAGTTAGATTTATAGAGTTATGGACTTACAGACTTTCCTGCCCTGGCTGGCTTCAAATGGTGATCCTCAGATCTCAGCCACCTGAATAGCTAGGATTATAGGCGTGAGCCACCAACTTCTGACCTCTTTATCTGTTTTTATTATTTAAGATTATAGGTATTACTATTTGATTATAATCTGTTAAAGCATTTTCTTTTTTTGGGGGGGGGGGTCCGGTCGTGGGGCCTGAACTCTGGGCCTGGGCACTGTCCCTCAGCTTTTCAGCTCAAGGCTAGCACTCTATCACTTGAGCCACAGTGCCACTTCCAGCTTTTTTCTTTTTGCTTATGTGGTGCTGAGGAATCGAACCCAGGACCTCGAGCATGCAAGGCAAGCGCTCTACCACTGAGCCACCTTCCTAGCCCCTGTTAAAGCATTTTCTAGATGTGCCTCTTCTGTCTTCCCTAATCCTACTGCAGCTTTCTATTCCATGGGGCTCTGTTTGCCTGTTTTACAACACTTTTGCAAATGGAAATAATCAGTGAGATTTGTACTACTAGGGGTTGGGGTTGTAGTTTGGTTGTAGGATGCTTGATTGGTATCAGCAAAAGAAGCCCTGGTTCAATCCCAACTACCAAATACTCCTGACAAACCTGTACTGCTGGGTTCTGAAATATGTATTTTCTCAAGAGCCTTTGCCATTCATTATATGAACCACAGATATGAGTTTAGTTTAAATTTCAAACTCATACAACAATTTGATATACAACTATTAGATATACCAGAAATGATATTTGCTGAGGAAATTATTAGAAACCTAGCTTTGAAAAGAAGGAATTTCAGAAGCACCTTAGTTATATAGATTCAGATGTGTGTGTATAAACACAATGTGTACACATATATATATATATACATATTTGTGTGTATATATAACTTAAGTTTAAGAATTTAGTACTTTATTTGACATTCAAGGGATTGAAAATACTTTGATAGGCTAGAGGAGCAACTTTAATTTCTAAAAGGAAATTCTAGTATCACTGTAGATAAATGTTCTGTTGTTTTGCCTTTCAAATTGATTTTCTCTGAACTTTGATTCTTATTTTTTAGGTCCACATTGGAATTAAAGGATTTGTTAAAGATTCAGTAACAGGATCTGGGTTAGAGAATGCAACCATCTCAGTAGCTGGTATTAATCATAATATCACAACAGGCAGATTTGGTGATTTTCACCGGTTGCTTGTTCCTGGAATATATAATCTTACAGCAGTATTAACTGGGTAAGAAGTTAAACTAGTCTTTTAAAATGTTAAGCTTGGGGCTGGGAAGTTGGCTCAGTGGTAGAGCACTTGCCTTGCATGCATGAGGCCCTGGGTTTGATTCCTCAGCACCACATAAGCAAAAAGAAAAAAGCCGGAAGTGGCGCTGTGGCTCAAGTGGTAGAGCGCTAGCCTTGAGCTGAAGAGCTGAGGGACAGCGCCCAGGCCCAGAGTTCAGGCCCCACAACGGAACAAAAAAAAAAAAAACAAAAAAATAAAATAAAATAAAATGTTAAGCGTCTGTTTTATAGCTAAGACAGAAAAATATCTATTAAATGTTACTTGTTATATGTGCCTTTTATTTTTCCTTACTTTTGGATTTTTCTCCTCTTTTTTTTGTAAGGAGAAAAAAATGTCATGGAGTATTTTGTCACATGACAAAATGTGAAGTGTAATTAATGTTGGGAGGAAGAACAATTTTTAAAGCTTGGGAAGAATTTTAGCCATGTTAAAGCTCTGACCCAAGGACCAGAACAGAAGCAATCAAGGGCTCTGCAAATGGCATTTGGAGAACTCTGAATCATCAGCTTTCTAGCATATGAAAGGAGTGGTTTCCCCCACCACAAACCTCCTGCAAACTTTTCTAGAGGTTTGCATTTGTAAGGAAAGGATTTAATTGATAACTTTCATTTAATTTTGAACTTTAAAACATGGGAAAGAAGCTAGAATGCCAGTTTGATAAGATACAGCAAAAATGAATAATTTATACTTTTGAATATTGTAGCAATGGTATAATGGAGTAATTAGCATATTTATTCTTTTGAATGTTATTTTTTTAAACATTCTAATATGAGGTACCTGAGAAGGTTGGTAAGAAAATACTTAGTCTGAGATTCTCAAGAGATAACATCCTAAAACTCTTTTAAGTTTATATATGTATCTTTGTTTAATTTTGAGTGTGTTTCCCTCATGTTGAAAGTATTGTCTGTCTTAACTCCAAGCCCTCACCTTTGTCAAATATTTTTTCAGGTACATGCCGTTGACCATTAATAATATAATGGTGAAAGAAGGACCAGCCACAGAGGTGGATTTTTCCCTTCGGCCAACTGTGGCTTCAGTAATCCCTGACACCACTGAGGTGGCAGCAACTGCGAGCACAGTTGCTGGTCCTAATATCTCTCCTGGAACATCCCCATCCCACCAGCCAATTCAGCCAAAAGATTTTCATCACCACCATTTCCCTGACATGGAAATCTTCTTGAGGAGATTTGCCAATGAATATCCTAATATCACTCGTCTTTACTCACTAGGAAAATCAGTAGAGTCTAGAGAACTCTATGTGATGGAGATATCTGATAATCCAGGTGTCCACGAACCAGGTAATTGGTATGGTCTTACATAGAATTTCCTTTTATTTTTTTCCTCTGTCGTTTGTGGGGCTTGAGCTTTGCGTCTGGGTGCAGTCCTTGAGTTCTTCAGCTCAAGACTAGCACTCTGCCACTTGAGCCACAGCACTACTTCCTTGCATATAATTTCTGTAATGCCTCTCAAAGCTTTGCATTATATTGTTCTTCTTGTTGTGTAGTATGTGTATTTAAGGAAACATAATCAAAAAAGAAAATTTAGGCCAGTCTTTTCCCTAAAAAGAAGAAATCTATTTGCTAATCCACGTTAGGCATGGTATTTGATATGTAACTAAATTAGATTCCTTCTACTAATAATTATGCTATAAATTAAATTTCCTTTGCACATCTGTGTACATGTACCACACACATACATGCATATACATACATGCTGCTGAGACATACATGTTTTTAAGGAAACTTCAAGATGTTTGGGAAGGTTTTACTTGATTTTGGCAAAATACATGTTTGTTAAAAAATTTTCATCCAGGTATTGGTGGCTCATGCCTGTAATCCTAGCTACTCAGAAGGCTGAGGTTAGAGGATCACTGTTCCAACCATGAGGCTCCTTATCTCCAATTAACCACCAGAATATCGGAAGGAAGTGGCGCTGTGGCTCAAAGTGGTAGAGTACTAGCCTTGAGCAAAAAAGCTCAGGCAAAAAAACTCAGTGCTCAGGCCCTGAGTTCAAGCCCCAGAACCAAAACAAAAAACAAAATTCAGTATATTTGAACATATTGGGAAGAAAAGGAAGAGTCCATGAAAAGTGAAAAGGAAAAAGTCTTCCATGTAATTATTTTGTTTTCAGGTGAGCCAGAGTTTAAGTACATTGGAAATATGCATGGAAATGAAGTAGTTGGAAGAGAATTGCTACTGAACCTCATTGAATACCTTTGTAAGAACTTTGGAACAGATCCTGAAGTAACTGATTTGGTTCGCAGCACTAGAATTCACCTTATGCCATCCATGAATCCTGATGGGTATGAAAAGTCCCAAGAAGGTAAAGAATAACTGATTAGTAGTGCTTAGGGTTTTAGTTATTATATGATGTGATTATTTTTAGGATAGAAGAGACTTTGAACCTCTTGTTTCTTGGAATTTCTTCCTTTCTTATAAGCTCTTTTATATACTTGTAAATTGGCCAGACCATTAAGATCAAGCTTATGTTTACAGCTTTTTTTTCTTTTCTTTTCTCTTTGTATTTTAGTAATGTCTTTCTGTATTATTCAGGGCCCTTTAGAGGAGCAGAACCAACCAATAGGGTACATATTTAATTATAAAAGATTTAAGGCTAGGTGCCAGTGGCTCATGCCTGTAATCCTAGCTGCTCATGAGACTGAGATGTGAGAATTGCTGTTCAAAGCCTCTTCTCTCCATCCAATCAACCACCTAAAAACTGTCAGTGGCACAATGGCTCAAGTGGTAGAGCGCTCACCTTGAGTTAAAGTGCTGAGGGGCCCAGAGTTCAAGCCCCATGACTGACCAGAAAAAAAAAAAGATTTATTAGACTGGCTTACATAATTAGAGACTGTCATGTACATGCTGTAAGAAAACCTATAGTCACTTAGTCCACGAAGCTGGAAGCTTCAGAACAAGGAAGTCCAACAGTGCAGCTCCAGTCCAAGGCTGATGGCCTAGATGTTCCCTAGGGAATCTCTAAGGTAAATCATGTTGAAAGACTGAAGAAACTGGAATCTGGTGTCAATGGGCCATGGCAGAGCAGGAAGAACAGAGCTTGTATTCACTGGCTGGCTTTCTCCTCCTACCTTTTTGGACCACCTTTTTTATCATCTGTGCTTCTAGCTTACTGGGTGGTGCTAACACATTTAGAGTGGATCTTTCTCCTCAGTTGCTATCCCACATGTCAGTCATCCCTAGAAATGTCCTCACAGACACACCAAAAATGTACTTTCTTAATCTCCTAATTTCTCAGTCCCATCAAGTTTAATATCTATGTCTATTATATAGAAGTAGATAGATCTATCTATATAACAGATGCAGATAAATATCTCTATATATTGTTTTAACAAGAATTTATTTTAGTATGACATGGTTAAAGCAGGGAAAATAGGAAAAGGGAGAGAAACATTTTCTGCTCCCCATGTAGGAAATGGAATTTAAAGACTCCAACATAGTATAAAATTTTTCAAAATGGTTTCATTTTAACAGTAATTTTTATTAAATTGTTGCATTGGAAATCTTCTAACTGGAAGTATTTGGAGGCAGTGACTCTGGTTTTGACCCAGTTCTATTGTTCATACATAACCTTAGCCTGCTTAATCACTGACTTCCCATTCCTCTGCCTCCTCTAGCTAGGCAAACCTATCTCTCCTGCGACAATGTAGTAAGATCTGGGAGACCAGGTTTACCCAAGCCACCTATGTTGAACACAAGTAGAGTAAAAATCCATTTTTTCCCAACACATAATTCTATAGGGATGTTTTAAGGTTTCCTTATAAAAGTTTGATGATTTTGATCTATAATAGATAGACAATGGGCAAATTAACAGGGGAAAAAAAGTAACAAATTTACTAATATGCAGAAACATAGCACCCATATACAAAGTACATGACTAAGGAGAAATAGGCAGTTGAAGCTTATATACAGTTAAGCAAAGGGATGGGGTTTGGATTCCTTAGGTGGAGAGGTAGCTGCAGGCTATGGAAGTTTGAGGGGACAAAGTGCACTGTGATAAAGGTTGTCCACACGTGTGTGTGTGTGTGTGTGTGTGTGTGTGTGTGTATGTGTGTGTGTGTGAGAGAGGGGGGGGGAGAAAGAGAGAGAGAAGGGGAGAGAGAGACAGACAGACAGAGGGGAAGAAGAGAGGGAGAGAGAATGTGTTTGCTCATGTGCATGTGCTACTCCTGAGAATTGAATTCAGGTCTGGGCACTGTCCTTGAACTTTTTTTGCTTATGGCTGGTGCTCTACCACTTAAGCCACAGCTCTACTTCCAGGTTTTTGGTGGTTAACTGGAGTCTCACAGACTTTCCTCCCCAGGCTGACTTTGAACTGAGAGCCTCGAGTCTCAGCCTCCTGAGTAGCTAGGATTATAGATTATATGTCAGCCACCTGTACCTGGCAAGATAAAGTCTCTCAGTCATAGGTATCTGTGGTCATCTCTGGACCAGACTTCAGACCCCCAATCTATTCTTTCTATGAAAATAACTTTTCTAGGTTGAAAAGAAGTATCATATAGAAAAACTTCTGCATTTGCTACTTGTTAATATAGAGAAATGTAAATTTCTTTTTATAAAAAGACAGCTTTTCAGGGCTGGGAAGGTGGCTCAGTGGTAGAGCGCTTGCCTTGCATGCCTGAGGCCCTGGGTTCGATTCCTCAGCACCACATAAGCAAAAAGAAAAAAGCCGGAAGTGACGCTGTGACTCAAGTGGTAGAGCGCTAGCCTTGAGCTGAAGAGCTGAGGGACAGCGCCCAGGCCCAGAGTTCAGGCCCCACAACCGGACCCTAAATAAATAAATAAATAAATAAAGATAGCTTTTCAGAGCTATTCCTGTGACTGCAGTTTCTCTCAATAACTAATTTGAAATATGCCCCAAAACTCTATTTGGGGTGTGATATTTCACTCTCTCACAGTTGCTCCTAGGCAATAATACCTGTAAGTAGAACAGGAAAACCACAGTATGAATATGCAGCCGCATGATTGATAATTCACCCTGAGCTAACTACTGGGTGTATAATCTTATCATTATTACCCATTTGATTTGAATTTTTTCTCATAATTGCAGTATGGAATATGCACAGTTAATGTTAAGTTGGACTTTTCTTCTCTATCATTTTATATTTTCAATTGTTTTTCTTATTTTGATTATTTTTTTGCTTTGTCTTACTTTACTTTTTTGTGATCACGCCAATGTAAGCATACCATAATTTCAGTTAGTCTGGTTCTCTTTTTTTCTTTTTTCTTTGTCAGTTGTGGGGCTTGAACGCTGCCTGAGTGCTGTCCCTCAGCTCTTCAGCTCAAGGCAAGCGCTCTACCACTTGAGCTACAGCGCCACTTCTGGTTTTCTGGTGGTTTATTGGAGATAAGAGTTTCACGGATAGCCGGGTGCTGGTGGCTCACGCCTGTAATCCTAGCTACTCAGGAGGCTGAGATCTGAGGATTGCAGTTCAAAGCCAGCCCGGGCAGGAGAGACCATGAGACTCCTATCTCCAATAAACCACCAGAAAAACGGAAGTGGTACTGTAGCTCAAGTGGTAGAGCGCCAGCCTTGAGCTGAAGAGCTGAGGGACAGCGCCCAGGCCCAGAGTTCAAGTCCCACAACTGACAAAAAAAAAGAGTTTCACGGACTTTCTTGCCCGGGCTGGCTTTGAACCGAGATCCTCAGATCTCAGCCTCCTGAGTAACTAGGATTACAGGTGTGAGCCACCGGCGCCCGGCTTAGTCTGGTTCTTTACGATGTCTTACTGTGTACAAGTCCAATAGAGTTCCTCTTTGACCATTACTGCTCACTCAAAGGTGTGAGCATGTCTTTGTGTGTTGATTATTGACAGTTGAGTGAAACTTTAATGTAATTTATATAATTGATATTTTTCTTCTCAAAGTATGACTAGAGGGCAGAAGCAAAATATTCGTAGCTTTAGCCCTCTGTTCTAAAAGTCTGAAAAAGAGGTTTTAAGCACACAATTTAAATAAAATGTGTTATTTTATTTTTTATGCTGGTCCTGAGGCTTGAACTCAGAGCCTGAGGGCTATTCCTGAACTTTCGTGCTCAAGGCTAGTGCTCTCCAACTTGAGCCACAACTCTACTTTCAGTTTTTTTGGTGGTTTAGTGGAGATAAAGAATATCACAGACTTTCCTGCCTGGGCTGGCTCCTAACTGTAATCCTCAGATCTCAGACTTCCAAGTAGCTAGGATTATAGGTGTGAGCCACTGACACAAGGCAATAACCTATACTTTGATCACAACAGGATTGATAATAATGAATTATAATGTGTTTGCACTTGACCATAAGTTAAAATAGCTGAAGTAGTATGTGTTGGATTATAATACAAGTAAAATATAGCTTAAATTGGAATCTTCTATCTTTCAGGAGATTCAGTAAGTGTAATTGGTAGAAACAACAGCAACAACTTTGATTTGAATCGGAATTTCCCAGACCAGTTTGTTCAGATCACAGATCCTACCCAACCAGAAACTATTGCTGTAATGAGCTGGATGAAGGCTTATCCTTTTGTGCTGTCAGCAAACCTGCATGGAGGTATGGTAACTCTATATTCCACTAATGTGTCTTACTAGGAACAATAGAAAATTCTAGTGAAACCTTATCTGTTTACAGTCTTAAGCTTTCAGAAAATGAGTATTCTGTTACTGCTTCTGTGGCAGATAACAATAAAGGTCTTACTGTTTTTTAGGCCAATTCCATGGTTGTTCCCTCCACTCTCTTTTTTTTTTCCTTTCCTGGCTTTTCTTTCTTTATCCTCCCCACCCTTTCTCTTTCTCTAAACCTCCCTTCTTTCTCTTCCCTTTCTCTTTTTTCTTCTCTATGCCCAACTTCTCTCCATTGAAATGGAGTGAATTTTTCTGCTCTTGGCTGCCTTGGAACCTCAATCCTTCCAATCAATATTAGCTTCTCACATAGCTAGGATGGTAGGCACATCATCACTACACCCAGCTGTGGGTTGAGAAGGGAGTCCCAAACTTCCTCTCAGACTGGCCTCACAATCTCAGCCGGGAGGCTGAGAATAACTATAACTAGCCATTAGCACTCAGCTGATACTTTTTGTTTGAATTTTGATCACAGATCCAAGGTGAAACAATGTGTTTCAGACATTTGAGTAGGAGGAGGTGTTACAGCATATTTATTCTTGGGGATTGAATGAGTGTAGCTTTTCATATTTGCTACCTAAGAATTTTTTTGTGTGAATGTTTGCAGTTGTTTCTTATTTCATCGAAATTAAGGTTGGAAATTCCATTCCTGTTGCCTCCCTTCCTATGAAATAGCATGATAAAAAAAGGGCAAAGGTGAATAGCTCAGTAGAGGGCATAATAGACAAACGAAAACAGTGTGACTAACAGGAAAATAAAACATTCCAATCTTTGGCAGGGGAGTGAGAATGTACATCTGAAAGACTGTGCCTGAGAAGCACAAAGGGAGCTGATAACTTCCTTCACGTGTATCTTAGCTCCTGAAATATGACATGATATAGCTCCAACTGAATAGTTTCTTTCTTTCTTTCTTTCTTTTTTGTCAGTTGTGGGGCTTGAACTCTGGGCTTGGGCACTGTCCCTGCGCTCTTCAGCTCAAGAGGAGTGTTATACTGCTTGAGCCACAGCACCACTTCTGGTTTTCTGGTGGTTTATTGGAGATAAGAGTCTCACGGACTTTGCTGCCCAGGCAGGCTTTGAACCGTGATCCTCAGATCTCAGCCCTCTGAGTAGCTAGGATTACAGGCGTGAGCCACTGGCACTGGGCTTCAATAGTTTCTAATAAGATCCTAAAAGAAGGAGGAGGCTGCAATGCTTGGTAAGAAATGTACGCATTATCCTGCCCATGTAATTGTAACCCCTCTGTACAGTAAGTTCACAAATAAAAAAAAAAAAAGATCCTAAAAGAGGGGGTTGGGAAGGTGGCTCAATGGTAGAGAGTTTGCCTTGCATGCATGAAGCCCTGGGTTCGATTCCTCAGCATCACATAAGCAGAAAAAGCTGTAAGCGGTGCTGTGGTTCGAGTGGTATTGTGCTCACCTTGAGCTGAAGAGCTGAGGGACAGCGCCCAGGCCCAGATTTCAGGCCCCATGACCGACAAAAAAGAAAGAACGAAACATTTGACTATTTTGAGTGTTAACAGGCCAGCTGTGCTATCCCTGTCATAATCTCTCTGCTTTAGATTTCCCATCTCCATAGTGAGATGGATAGATTAGTTTAGACCTCTTGTTATTTTTAAATTTCGTGATCCGTAAAATGTCTGAATCTTACTGAAAACATCCAAATCCTCTCAGTTTTTCTCATCTTAACTATTATAAAAGTAAAATGATGCATGTTATACCTGTGTACTTCTGGTTTCAGTTCCGGTAGGTAAATAGATAAATTTCTAAGACCTTTCTAGTTAAGGCAACCTTTAGGTCTTGTATATGTAGCCATTTATTTTCTTACTCACTTTGATTTTTATTGTTAATTTTTTTCTTTTTTGATGGGCTGATCCCATGGCCTTGCATATGCTAGGTAAGTATCTTACCACTGAGCCACACTCCAGCACTTATTTCTCATTTCTGTTCCTGAACAGATTTTGTTTTTTCTTCCCTGGCACTGTTATCAAAAGCTTACTTTATGTCAGTGACCCATCTTGAAACAGATAATGATATATTTTCCTTTTTTGGCTTGTAGGTTCACTGGTAGTTAACTACCCTTTCGATGATGATGAACAAGGAATTGCCACATACAGTAAATCACCAGATGATGCTGTGTTTCAACAAATAGCACTTTCTTATTCTAAGGTATGCTTTTGTTTAAATATCATATGCTGTAAAATGAACTGATGAAAAAATGACATGGAGTCTGGCATCAATGGCTCATACCCATAATCACAACTACTCAAGAAATGAAGATTGGGAGGATTATAATTCCAGGCCAGCCTGGCCAAAAGAGTCCAGGAGATCCTATCTCAACAGGAAAAAGATGGTTGTAGTGGTACATACTCTCATCCCAGCTACAGTAATAAGCTTAAATAGGAGGATTGCAATCCAGCCCAGCCCAGTCAAAAAGTGAGACCATGTCTCAAAAATAACCACAGCAAAAGTAGTAGAGCACCTGCCTAGCAAGCACAAGACCCTGAGGTTAAGGCTCAGTATCAGGGGAAGAGGGGGGAACCTTAAAATAATGTCTTCCAAGTGGTTTTTTGGTTGGGCTTTTCATGACTCTTTCAGTCAGCTTTTGGGGCTTTTCTTTTCCTATTTCCTACTTGACTTTGTGAATATACTACTTGTCTTTCTCCATTTACTTTTAATTTTTTTTCTGTTTATGTGGTACTGAGGAATTGAACCCAAGGCTTCATGCCTGCTAGGCAAACACTCTACCACTGAGCCACATTCCCAGCCCATCCATTTGCCTTTAATAGCACAGTAGCTGGTGTGAGCTTTTTTTTCATTTAGCAAACATTTAAGTCACAAGCTAAGTGAAAAATAAATAGAAGAATCGACAAGCTGCAGTGCTACAACCAATGGGAATATCTACCTTATCACTTGTTTCTTGTAAAATTGACTTACAAGAAGTTTTTATTGAATTGCAAGTATAGCCATACTTTCACAGATTATCTATGGCTGCTTCCTCCTTCAACCTTTGAAAATGAGTTGGTGTAAATTACCATGTTAGCAAACTAAAGTAGAAAACTTTGCAATTATCTCAATAGATTCAAGGAGCAGAATTGAAAAATTGCAACAGAGATTTTAGGGAGCTATAAAGCCTAATTTTTTTACAATCTGGCCCTTTTTCAGGAAAACATTGCTAATGTCTGGTTTAAGGTATTTAATCCTATAGTAGTAGATAGCAAGGAAAAGAAGGCAAAAGTTTTTTGTATTTTCTAAACTTCCTATAATGAATATGGATTCTTTTTCTGATCAGAAACTTAAAATTTGTATGTATGAAAATTTTATTTAAAAAATGTTCTTAGAAAACTTTAAAGTTAGCTAGGCACTGATGGCTCACACTGGTAATCCTAGCTACTCAGGAGGCTGAGATCTTCGGATCATGGTTCAAAGCCAGCCTGGGCAGGAAAGTCCTTGAGACTCTATCTCCAATAAACCACTCACAAAACTGGAAGTAGTGCTGTGACTCAAGTGGTAGAGTTTTAGCCTTTAGCTGAAGAGCCTGGGTTCAACACCAAGGCCCAGAGTTCAATCCCCACGACCACCACCACCAAGAGCAACAAAAAAGAAAACTTTAAAGTTTGGGTTTGGGCAGTAGGTATACTCCAAGTTTTAGACTACTGATTCCATTTGTGACTACTGAATATAGATTAAGAAGGTTAATACTTCAACTCTGTGCTGTCTAATCCATCCTTCATCATTCCACCTTCCCTACTTCTTCATTCTCTGCAAGTGTCCCTTGTGTAATTATTAGGAGCTACAAGTAAAGGAGAATAGCTATTTATTTCACCTTAAAGAAGTTTTACTTTCTACTGGGAACAGTGGCTCATGCCTGTAATTCTGGCTACTCAGGAGACTGAAGGCTGGGGAGATGACTATTAAGAGACCAACCCAGGTAAAAATGTTTGTAAGACCCACTTTTTGTGTGTGTGTTGGTCCTGGGGCTTGAACTCAGGGCCTGGGTGCTGTCCCTGAGCTTTTGTGCTCAAGGCTAGTGCTCTACCACTTGAACCTCAGCTCCACTTTGAGGGTTTTTTTGGTAGCTTAATGGAGATAAGAGTCTCATAGACTTTCTTGCCCAGGTTTGGCTCCAAACTGATTCTCAGATCTCAGCTTCCTGATTAGCTAGGATTACAAGTGTACAGTGCCTAGCTGTTTTATTATTTTTAAATTGTTATTATAAAGGTAATATACAGAGGTGTTACAGTTACATAGATTAGGTAATGAGTACATTTCTTTTTGGACACTGGTACCCCTTTCCTCACTCTCTAAGAGCTTTTCTTTTCTTTTTTTTTTTAAATTTAAATTTTATTTGTGAACATGCTGTACAGAGGAGTTACAATTACATGGGCAGGATAATGCGTACATTTCTTACCAAGCATTGCAGCCTCCT